GCCTCTTTTGGGCAATATAAAAAGAAAAGCTTTCTTTTGAAGATAGTTATCTTCAAGCTTGAGAAAGAAACCAGTGAGAGAAAGTGTGAAAGTTTCCTTCTTTAAAAATTAGAAGCTAGAATTTTGGGTTTGAAGTTAAGCAGTTTATGTTGCTATTTCTATTGGATATAAGGTGAGTTCCTGTTTTTAAATATCCAATCTTTGAACTTRTTAAGGGTTCAAATTTTTGTATGGAATTGTTGGTCAACTTGTGCAGTTGATATGTGTATATTTTCTGGGGAATTAAAGGTTTAAGAGAACCTGAAATCGGACAGTGTTGTCCGATGAGGATTTATTATTGATCAAAGTTTTATTTGATAAAAGTGGCTTCCGGACGGTATTGTCCAATGAAAGTATGTTTAAACCTTTTGGGATTAAAAGAGTATTATTGTATCTTTCAAATGAGGTTATAAATCTGGAAAAGATATTGTTTGGATTTTCTTTCAAGAACGGTTGTGACATGAGGTCTGTTTTGAAAGAAACGAGTTTCCAAAGGTTTCTTCAAGACGGTTGTGACTTCGGTCTGTTCCGGTATGAAACGAGTTTTCGAATATTTCTACGAGACGGTTGTGACTTCGGTCTGTTCTGGTACGAAACCATTTTYAGGCCATTATTGGCTAAAACTACAGATGATGTTCTTCAGGACGGTTGTAACTTCGGTCTGTTCTRGTACGAAACTCTTCATCTGTAGATTTGARAAGGAAATAAGGGTGGCATATCAACGAGAGGTGTACATCTGGATAAGGGTGGCAATTGGATAACTCTGGTGGTTGTTTTTATAAGGTTGTAATAACAGTAGTCATTAGGGGAAGGGGCAATCTTGGAATTGTTAGTATTCTGTTGCAAGGGGTGGAAAAGGGAAAGTAGCAGGAGTACCATGTTAAATAGGTATGGGGGCGTAGGAGAGGGTATTTGATTTGTAAACRTTGATTTTGGCATGAGCCTATGGAGACCCAGCTTCTCGAATTGCTGGAAACCATTAATTATTCAGTTGCAGTATCAATTTCATCTSGATTTTCACCACTCAAAGAGTACATCAGTATATATGCTGGTAGACTCCTCCGAACCTGATAGAAGATTATGGTGAAGGTGTGAAGCTTGGAGGGACTCAGGACCGGAGTCTCATATTCTTAAAATATGTGAAAGTATTGACATAATCATGTAAGCTAGCCACGATAGGTGTCCAGATGTTTTTCAACGGGTTGTTTAGCTTAGTGAAGAGTTAAGAGGGCCATTGGATCATCAAAACAAAGTTTATTGGTTTTAGGCCAATATGCAATGAATAGTTACATCTATTGACCAAACAGAAAAGCAACCACATTCCTAGAGTCCGGTAATTGGGTGTCACTCCTACAGGCCCATGCCGATTGGTCCTTCTGTTACCAAAGTAAGCCACCTCATCCATCACTAAGTTTGATGTCTTTGTAAGATCTTCAGAAACTTTTCATTTACCAAAGTAAGCCACTCAATTATCCATGAAACTTTTCATTTATACAATCAACTGTACAAGTGCCAAATCACAAGGGATAAGTAGATGACACTGACAAAAAAATGGCAATCTAGACGATGGATCCTACGAGTAAAATGCTGGTTGTATGATACAATACTCTATTATTCAGCCCATGGAGTACAAAACTGGAATAAAGTTAAGTTTACCATGTATATGCATGTATTAGGAGTCCACTTCAGGATTCTAAAAATCCCAGTCTAGGGCTGCTTAAGCTACAGCCTAGACGTTAAGCTTTATCCCACCACTTTGATTAGTTAGAGCCATTTAATGAGCTGCCAAAAAGTTTACCACATTGCTTCATTAGCAACAAAAGACTGTTCAAGCATCTCAAAATTAAGCAGTAATAAACGGATTTTTCTCAACTTGCTATCATCGATCAACTTTCCTCAACATGGATGAAATCTTAACAACCTTTTATGAGTAACTATATCTATGAAACTAATTCATTATTCTAGACACAATGATATACTTAAACAACCTCATGCTTTTGCTTAAGTTTTGCTCAATCTCTACTTAGACAATTAAGCATGGGAAGGCCGCTTGACCGCCTAGCTTATCATACAGAGGCGGATCTAAGAATTTTTGAGTGGTGTCATGATAAGGTTAATTTATTAACCCTATTTTCATCACTTTTACCATATGTTTAGTAATTAGATTATCTGATAGAGATGACAAAATCAAGTTAACCGAAACARAGGAAATTCAATGGAGAAGATGATAAAATTTTCATTAAAAGGATAAAAGCAATCAAATGATTGTCCARGGAAGATCCCTCTCTATGARCTAAGAGCCAATACAATGGAAAAGAGATAACAGAACATGAAAAAAACGTCACTCCCCTCCTCTATTTATTATTCTCTCTCCTTTAACCAACTCCTAGCCACTTTCCTGATTTGCCCCTATGCCCCTTCTAGAATAAACATACATTATCCTAGGCTTAGTGACTTTTGGTAATAGCAAATCAACATTCATATCATTACTCCCGCCTTCAGAAAAAGTCTTGTCCTTAAGACTTGCATCCGGAAACTGAATTTGGATGGAAGAGAGGAAGAGAGGTCCCTGGAGACAACCCCCTCGATTTGACAGGAAGACTTGGGAACAAGAGGAGTTGTTTCATCARAAGCTAACCAAGTTTGAAGGGACGCTGGAGGCTGTTGAGAAGGAGTCAACCCTTGAATTAGAACAGATTCACCCTGATGCATAAAATGCATCCAAGACTTATCCCATTTATGGGTTACCACATCCAAAGATTTCAACCATTCTATTCCCAAAACCACATCTAGATGCCCAGTATCAAACACCAATACATTCACATAAAATGTACAGCCTCCTACTAGGATTTGAAGATTAACGCAGCARTGAGTAATAAACACTTTATAACCATCTCCTAATTTTATGTTGATACTCCAAACGACGTATATGGAAGACCCAATGAGAGTACTAGTTGTCGAGAAACAAAATTGTGAGTTGCCCCACTATCCACCAAAATCGCAACTGGTATACCCGTATAGATCCTTCCAATTTCAATGTCTTACCCCCTGATGCCATCGAAGTAGCCCCAAAAAATTCCAAAGTTGTATACAACCCAAGCACAGGAGGTTCAGTTGGTTGATCAATCTATGGTTGGTCTTCTTCTAATGGAAAGTGATTACCCTAATCGACACCATACTCATCATCCCCTAATCGCAGCACCCTTAACTTTCCCTCCGGGCATTTGTGACCAGGACCAAACTGTTGGCCACAACAAAAACATAAGCCCTTCTTACAAACGATCTTCCCATTCCGTTCGTGTAAGGGAGTGAATTCCCCGATCACGATGCAGGAGCTGCGTGACCTCCGAAGAACCAGACCCCGRTTGACGATTTGAGGAAGAAACGTGATTAGTCATTACAAGACGGAAAAACCCTATCGCCAGGTTTGGAAGATATGGGCCCTTTTGGCTCAATCCGGCCCATAAATGAAGAACGATCCATGTGTGGAGCGGACCCAAGCCCACCCTGTTGTTGGTAACGGAAACGGTTTTGAGAGATGTTACCGGTAGTGAGTCGAAGCATTTCTTCCACATCCTTACTCCTTAGCCAAGTACATGGCATCCAACCTAGACCAAGGACAATGCAATCCCAACATTTGATTTCATCAYGTAAACCAGCGATAAAATACCCCAAGGCTTGGGACTCTGGCAATTTAGGAACTAAGGACAACAAATACTCAAAATCATCRATGTAATCATAAAYAGAAGAGGATTGTTTAATRGTCACCAATTGTTCATATGGATTCTAGATTTCCAGACCGCTAAATCGTTGTAACAATTCAATTTGAAATTGATCCCAGGTRATAGAATCATGAACTTGCTTAACAATWGTAAACCAATGTTGAGCAACCCCTACMATACTCAATTGAGCCAAACAAAGTCGGAKGGAAGGAGGAGTACCATTAATGTCGAAATACAAAGTTGCTTTCTGAATCCATCCCTACGGATCRAACCCGTAAAACTCYGGCAATTT